ACCCAGGCTGACACTTTATCCACTGAGCCAAACCAGTAGGGCCAGATTTTTTTCTTAATTATAGATCTAGTAGATGCCTAAATGTTTTCTGCTAAAAGTTTTATTTTATTTTATTTTTTTCGCTTGGCGCCAGAAGCGAGAGCCCCTCGGGTCAGTGAAAAAAAACAATTAGAGTAGTGGTATTTCACCTGCGGCCTGCAAGGCTGGCGTGCCCCCCTCCCCGCCCCCTCGCGGGGACTCAGGGAAGGGGCGCCGGGGGCCTCCCACTTATTCTACACCTCCCATGTCTCTTCACTGTGCCAGACTAGAGTCAAGCTCAACAGGGTCTTCTTTCCCCGCTGATTCCGCCAAGCCGGTTCCCTTGGCTGTGGTTTCACTGGATAGTAGGTAGGGGCAGTGGGAATCTCGTTCATCCATTCATGCGCATCACTAACTAGATGACAAGGCATTTGGCTACCTTAAGAGAGTCATAGTTACTCCCGCCGTTTACCTGTGCTTCATCGAATTTCTTCACTTTGACATTCAGAGCACTGGGCAGAAATCACATCGCGTCAACACCCGCCGAGGGCCTTCGCGAAAAGTTTTATTTTGACATTAAGACATCCAAAGTTTATATTGGCTTGTGACATGAAGTAGACATTCAATTTCATCTGTTTTCCACATGGATTCCCACTTTATTACAGCTCCACTTATTCAACAGCCCTTCCTTTCCCCATTGATGTGCAGTCTTCCTCTGCCACATCCTGAATGTTCCAAACATGTGAACAGTATGTCTACGTCTATTCTACTCCACTGGGCAATTTGCCTACCCTTTTTGTCCCTTTGTACCAATACTCCCGTCTTAGTCACTCTAATTTTATAAGACTTCTATATTTTTCTCCTTAAGATGTATCCTGGGTATTCGGTAACCTTTATCATTTCATAAAAATTTTCATATTTTCTTCTTTAACTAGTTATATCCCATTTTAATGTTTTTGACCTAAACTTACACGCCACAGTCTGTGGAATTTTTATCTAATACCTTAGATCTATTTTCCTCTACTCAGAGCATCCCTCTTGATCACCTTAATACTCATTATACACATTATGCTTGTCAAAATTTCTAAATTACATTTTTCAAAGAGGGAGTGAAAAGAATGGGAGAAAAATGTGTACTTTGTTATTGACTATAAGCTTCAAGACAGTAGTAAAGACCTCAGTTCCCTTATATCTCCAGATCTTACCACAGACACATAGCAGGCACTTAACAAATTATTTTTAAAAGAGTTACTTCCTCCTTTGGGGTCTCATCCAGAATAACTGTTCCTTCTCGTCCCTTGCTCTGCACCCTATTCACCCTGGACAGCAATGCCAGGAGGAGCCTCATTCAGACCTGTCAGTCTACTCCTCAACATTTAGCAGATATTGATACAAAGATTACTATGAGTCAATACTCCCTTGAAGGGTTTATGTACATCATCTCATTTAATTATCAAGGTGACCATGTAAAGCAGGATTTACTGCCTCTCAGTTTCTCATTTTAAGTGAGAACACTATCATTTTATTAAGGAATTTGCAAAATGTCACATAACCATTCAATGGGGAGGAGGTAAGAACCAGGTTGTTCAACAAAGACTGGGCTTTTAAAAAAAAGTTAAAATAAAATTTTATTGATTTCAGAGAGAAGGAGAGATAGAAACATCAATGATGAGAATCATCTATCAGTGGCCTCCTGCATGCCCCCTACTGGGGATTGAGCCCGCAACCTGGGCACGTGCCCTTGACTGGAATCAAACCTAGGACCGTCCAGTCAGCAAGCCAACGTTCTATCCACTGAGCCAAATCAACCAGGGCAACAAAGCCTAGGCTTTTAACCCTGTGGTAATCTTGTTACATCGCCTGTGAGCTCAGATGTCTTTATGCTTTTTCTTGTTCTTTTCTTTTTTAATTGAAATATAATTGATATACAACGTTGTGTAAGTTTAAGGTATGCAACATGTTAACGTCATAGGCACTAAAGTAATTGAGGATGTGATGAATAAATAAATGAACGTTTCTCAAAAATTAATTGATAGTGTATGCTAATATTGGGTACTTAAAAATTGTTTAAAATGTAATGTTTAGAACTAGAAGGGATGTTAGAAACCACCTCGTCCCAAACCCTTTATTTTAATAACTAGGCACCTGATACACAAAATTCCTGCAAGAGTAGGCCTTCCTTCCCCCAGCTGCCGGCACCAGCTTCCCTCTGGCACTCAGGATCCAAGCTTCCTTCAGGCCCCTGGCAGGTACCTAGGACCCGGGCTTCCCTCTGGCCACCGGAAGGTACCCAGTACCTGGGCTTCCCTCACAGCCCCAGCTTGTCTGGAAGGTTGTCTGGAAGGACGTCTGGAAGGACATCCAGTCTAATTACCATATTACCCTTTTACTATTATAGATAAATACACACAGGTCCCAAAGATCAACTTTTTTTAAGTCAAAAAGGCTTGTTTTAGCATATTTTGAACATGAAAATTTCAGGTAAGTGAACTTTGCACAATATCATCTGCCTGTAAATAAAATATATTCTAAATACATGGCACAAATTCCTAAATGAAGTGATATTCTCAAAAAATAATTAAAAATAGAAAATGTAATTAAACCCCAAACATTCAAGACAAACGCAACACACAACTAAACAACTCTTAAAAATAAAGAGAATATAGCTTAATTTTACAATTTAAGTACAAGGACAAATTACTATTTTTGCATTGCATCATTACATTTCACATTTTTAGATTTAAAACTGAGCATTAAGAACTTAAATCAGCAAAACTGTACTTTTTTGGTACTTGTAGAAAAGGCTATTATAATTTTGCTGAATCAGATTATAACATTTTCTGTGATCAATCTACATGTCTCCATTCAACAAATGACAAAGTGATCATTCCAAACTGTTATAATTCATCAGAACACATTTCCACTTTCAACAGCAACTCAACTGATTCAAACAAAGAAGGAGAGAAGGCTGATTTGTTCTGGGATTTTAACTAAAGACCAGCAAATCAAACCCATGTTCATTTATCAAAATCTGATAGACTCATAATGTTCTCCACTTTGAATAGCTATAGTATAAATGTATAAAAGTTGCATATAAAATACTGAAATGGCTCAGTCAGTTCTGAAGTACTTTTTCTCAAATCTTTGAATAGTCAAAAATTATAGTGAGAAAGTTAGACTAATTTTGAAAAGAGGAAGATAATTAGAATTTCTCCAATTGACCAAGAGCATTATTGGAATCTGAAGCAAATTCAAGATGCCCTAAATACTCTTAACAAAAATTAATTTTTTTTGGAAATGCTCTTCGGTGTTTTCCTAAACCTCATACAACCAGATAATATCTATGAAAGTCTGTTTATTAGCAAATTAATTAATAAATAACTTCAAAAATATCTGTAACAATGAAATCTGATGACATTCATTAAATAAATATCAAGTAAGAAATTTATATTCACTCTTCCTAAAGGTACAAACATTTCAAATAGGACTCAAAGTTCACCTTTTGTCATATTCATGAAGAGAAGCTTTGCTAAACAAAATTAATGTAAATTAGGTTTCAAAGAAAAAAATTTTGATTCAATGAGAATAAAACTAATTTCAAGCACCCTTAAACACTGTAGAAGCATTCATTTACTAGGAATATTTGAAAAATATATTTATAGGTCTATAAGTCAACAAAAAGCATAGAGAAATTTATTTGAAATAATCGGAGGAAAGGAATGCCTATAATGTCACAATAAATCCCCATTTATACATATCACTATGCTTCTTTGGAATTCACTCTTCTCTAGTCTTTGAAACTGGTCCCAAATGAGGTAAATATAGAGTCAAAGTGACTATCATATACTTGAAATTATCCTTTGCCCTTAACATCTATATATATAAAAGCCTAAGTGACCATTACAACTGAACAACCAGAACGACCGGTCAACCAGTCACTATGATGCACACTGACTACCAGGAGGCAGATACTCAATGCAGGAGCTGCCCCCTGGTGGTCAATGCACTCCCACAGAGGGAGCGCCACTCAGCCAGAAGTCAGGCTCATGGCTGGTGAGTGCAGCTGCGGCAGCCCCACCTCTTGGCACACTGCTACATCCCTCGGGGGATGTCCAACTGTCGGTTCATGGATCAGGCCTAAACTGGCAGTCGGACATCCCCCAAGGAGTCCCAGATTGCAAGAGGGTGCAGGCCAGGCTGAGGAACGCCCCCATCCCCTACATGCACGAATCTGTGCAACGGGCCTCTAGTAGGACAATAATCTGATAGCCCACAGGTTGGATCTGACACTGCTACATCCCTCGGGGGATGTCCAACTGTCGGTTCATGGATCAGGCCTAAACTGGCAGTCGGACATCCCCCAAGGAGTCCCAGATTGCAAGAGGGTGCAGGCCAGGCTGAGGAACGCCCCCATCCCCTACATGCACGAATCTGTGCAACGGGCCTCTAGTAGGACAATAATCTGATAGCCCACAGGTTGGATCTGGCCACCAACATGTATTTTCTTTTAAAAAGTGTTTGTTTGCTTGTTTTATAATATTTGGAAGTCTTTAGGGGTGTCATGTACAATTCAATTCTGCTACAGTTCCCACTGCCTCACTTTAGTAGGTTTCCTTCTTTATGTTACATGCTTGGTCTCTAAGGGCTTTTACTTCTGGAAGCCTATATTTAAAATTCTGTCCAATTTGAATGTTCACTGAATTATTCTTTTTGTACAGTCCCAGAACATAGAAATTATTAGAATTGGAAGGTGCCTCAGAGGTTATTTCATTCTTCTCATTTCTTTCAACAAGAAACTGAGGCCAAGAAAAGTACAGTAGCTTTACCACAGTTAAATGCACATGAATAGTTCTGCCAAAGTGTTCTTCTAACTCAATAAGCGGTTTTTTAAAAAAACCCTATTTTGAAGTTTCATGTTTTGTCATGAGTCACCACCATTCCCTATCTCCATAAAAGTAACATTAATTTTATTAAGCACTTACCCCTGAGAGCAGGTAGAAGGGATCTCTCCTTCTTGTCATCACATTTGTTACATTCACTGAAGTACAGGAGTAAGAAGACATCAACCAGAACCCACATCAGCGAAGTGGCAAGGACCACCTTGCAGTAAACAAACCTCCTCATGTCTTTTCTTGATTTCTAGTTAGCAAACAGACCGAAGACAGATGCTACTGTGATAAATCCAAGCCACAGGGGTGAGCTCCAGCATAAAAGCAAAATGCATCCCACTGCATTAAAAAAAAAAAGGAAAAAAGAGAAAAGAAAAATTTATTACCATATAGTTTGTTTTGCATAGAGATATAACACAAAATACATGAGTTATTTAATGTTTCCATATATATCAGCACTAGGCTTTCAAATTCAGCATTAAAAGTCCAAACAAATGAAAAGTTGTAAGCAAGCCTGGTAGCTAAAATTCAAACAGCTAATCCTAGATATGCCATTACTGTGCTGAGCCCTTAACAACTATTCAATTTCATCAAGTTGTATTGTCTTCTCAAATTTCTATCATAACATTCTGCAGAGCACCAGATTGTCAAATAGTGCAGTTCTGAACTTACCCTAATTCAGCACTTTATAGGAGCCAATGCCGCTGAAGCAGGAATCACCTGGGATACTATATATTGTAGAGGCTAAGTGTTGGTCTTTATACACAGATAGGCTTGTGTCTACTTACTTCATATTTGTGGAAGCCTTTTTATATTTTTGTTTTGTTTTGTTTTTCATTTATAAAATGAGAATAACAATGCCAAACCTAAAGGTTTGCAATAAGGACTAAGTACAATAATGCTTGTAAACCATCTTGCAGAAGACAAAGTTACTAACATATAGGAAAAAAAATTCTCAAATTCTCAGAAAGAGCAATTACATAAAGCCATCAATTATTACGCCTTAAAAACCCCATCTGGTCTGCATGGAAAGTATCAGCAATAAATGTTTATTTTAGAATGGACAGCATACATTCAAAATATACTACCCGAGGAGAAACAACATATTAGTGTAGAGTGACTTAGAATAACCAGAGTAAGAATTCTAAAAGGCATAGCAAAGACTGTGCACAATTATTGAGATGTATTCAACAGTGTAGAGTTAATACCATATACATTTGTTCTATTTATACTGCATAAGACAGTAAGGACCTGGTTGATTGTATCTATACAGTATATATTCTCATATCATTTACTACATTTAAAACAATATAAATTTATTGATGTGAATCAATAACATAGTTTTCACAGATATTTGGGGAGAAGAGTCATTAAATACAAAGGCACTCAGAATATTTCATAAACATTTGTCCCAAAATTAAAACATCGAAGTGAAAATTGCTGAGGTAGAAGCTCTTTAAGTTAAAGGCAGCTGCCTTTGTATCAAAAGCAACACAAATGCTGTTGCCCCTGTTACAACCTAACCAGATTATAACAAATTCAAAATTTATATAAACTGACAGTTTAGAAAATTATTATACCAAAAGGTCTACTTTCAATATTTATATAAAACTTACATTTATTCACCATAGTTTTTTTCTAAAAAAAATATAAAAAAAGAAAGAAGCAAACTGTACAAATTTAAGAAATACATTATATTTAGGGTTTATTGTCTGCTTGTTATTTTCTTGAATAAATTCCATGCTGATTATTTCATTTTTACTTTATTGTTTCTAAAGAGTACAGCCAGCCATTGGAACTGAGCCTCTAAACCTGATAAGAGAAAGATTCTTCTCTATATATTTCCTATGTGTATGCTTTACTGAGTATGAATGTGAAACAACTCAAGCTGTTCAATTTTCTGTCTTCCTTTGGTGGAGGAGGTCCCTTCAATTTTTTGTAGAAAAAAAGTCCTAGAAAAAAGTATATACAAGACTGATGGTTACCAATGCACATTCCCAGATTTATAAGGAATACCTTAAAATAAAAGATCCTATAATAAAGTCTCTATCTATAATAGTAAAAACATAATATGCTAATTAGACTGGATATCCTTCCGGACAAAACTGGGGCCATGAGGGAAGCCTGCATCCCGGTGAATGCTGGTAGCTGGGGGAGGGGGGCGGAGAGCCCAGATCCCGGGTGCCAGAGGGAAGCCGGTGCCGGCAGCCAGAAAAAGGAAGGCCTACTCTTGCACAAATTTTGTGCATCGGGCCTCTAGTGCATTATATAAAATCCTTTATTATAAAGATGGATAAAAGAGACATAAACAACACCATTCTTATCTATGTCATAAAGTGAAAAGATGACTTTAGAGAGAAGGATATGTGATGATGTGAGCACAGGTTGAAGTGATGCAACCTGAACCAAGGAATGGGGGTGGAGTTGGCTGAATAACAGGAATGGATTCTTCCCTAGGACCTCCTGAAGGAACCAGCCCAGTGGGAATCACTTGGAACTTTCACCATGTGGAACTGAGTCCTAGCCAACGATGAGGTGCACTATAGAAATTGTACCATCTGCTTCTCTGGATATGTTTCCTTCAGGAAACAAGAACTTTCTATGTGATCTCAGGGACAAAGCAGTTACAAAGAAACCTTGCTCCTTAGAAATTGCAAGAGCTCCTTCCCCAGGAACTGATAATGCCTCTGACAGAGCAATTTCTGCTACAGGAATGAGTAACCATAGAAACAGCTCCACAGGCCCAACACCTGACTGCTCTCCTCCATCCCTTCCGACTCTGCCCTCAAAAATATTGTAAAAGTTATTCGACCCAACCTCAACAACATCTATTATGTCCTCTCTGAATTTTCATCGAATGAATCACAACCAGGAATATTTCTAAATCAACACATTCCCAGAGTGTGGAAGCTTTCTATCCAGCCGTCTGTCAGCCTACCCACCTCTTCTGTGGGAATCACAGAGGTTAACAGTGAGGAAACTAACCATACAGATAACCTCTCTCAACAAGAGGACAGTGATCTCCCAAAAGAATATGATCCTGAGCAATTTGCAGGCCTTCTCCATGGATGCTCTCCAACCTGTGAGTCCCCTGAAAATCCATTTAATTTCTATGGGAAAAGAGATGAACATGAAGGACAAGATGAAGTCACTTTGGCAAATAGTCCATTGGCTCTCAAGTAGTCTCCAACAGAAAATAACTCAGAAG